TCTCTCCAGCTAAGCTCCAGGTGGTGATGGTTGTTCTTTAGCTTAGTTGTAGGTTTGATGTGGACATAGTAGGAGGTGAGTACAGCATTTACCTCCATCTTCAGAGATTTAGAATGTTCCACCTTCCCCTCCTATGACTGGTTCATATAGTCCTGGGGAAACAGAGTCATCGCAAGGGGACAGTGAGGCAGTTCTGGGGGTTGCTCCCAGCTCTAATTCTCTCCTTGTAATGAAGACTGACGGGGAGAGGATGATGCTGGAGGCAGACTTGCTGACAGAAAGCCCGATGCAGGCTGGCCTCACCCGTTGGGTTCCCTGTGCACTCCTGCTCAGGGAACCCCATGCTCGCCTTGTGCAGGTCTGAGGCACTCAGGGCCGATGGCTGCCCCTAGTGGCAGAGCTCCAGGGCAGGCTCCCTGGAGGAATGTGATCCATTAAAACACAGCGTCCCCCTGGGGCAGCCGAAGGAGACAATAATTATCTTTATACCCAGCCCTGGAAACTAGAACTTGTCATCTTCATTCTACAAGAGAGCAAACTAGGATCAGAAATGATAATTGTTTTGCTGAAATTGGTACGTGGCAGAGCGTGGCTATGGATCCCCCGGTGGCCTGGCTCCAGAGCCGTGTCCATGGCCACATGACCCTGCCTCCCAAAGCATTAGGCCTCACTTGGATCAGAGAGAAGCTGGTCTGCAGAGAACAAAATGCCTACACACTGCACATGCGTCCTTCATTTTCCATGGGGATCCATACATTTGCCAAACTCTCCACTTTGGTGTATTCCATTTGTACTACACCCAATCTTACGTAAGAATCACCCCAATTGCTTAATGCTTAACCCTTTCCCTCCCAGCTCATCCTTCCCGGAATCTTGTCCTCAGTCTGCCTGTGTCATGATGGTATCTTTCATTTCATTCTTCATTCTTCCATTTATTCATTCATTCTCTGAATCGGTATTTATTGAGAAGCACCTACTTTATGCCAGATACTTGCTTTAGGCTCCAGGGACACAGAGGTGAGCAAAGTAGGTCAAGTCTCTGCCTCCCTAGACCTCTTTAATGGTAATAGACATAGAGTTTGATTTCAGCGGTAAAAGTTGTTATGACGGAAGATACACTGAGTAAGGGGTTTGGGAGTATTTTTGAGAAGAACCTATAAGAGAGAGAATGGCCAGAAAGGCCGTACTGAGGAGATAACTGAGGAAGCACCTGGAGTGGTGACACGAAGATACGAGGGAAGGAATATTCCAGGCAAAGGAAGCAACACATGCAAAGGCTGTGTGTTGGGAATGAGTTAATGTGATTATAGAAGAGCATCAGGTCCAGGGTGGCTGGGGGAGGTAAAACTAAGGGGACGTGGTGAAACGGAGGCGCAAACAGCCCAGAGCTTCTAGCTCAGCCACAGACAAGGCAGTTCTCTTTTCTGAGTCCTGGTCTGCTGACACGGACACTAGGGGTCACCATGCCTACTCCGCTGACTTGTTTAGAGGATGAACCAAGAGAGTGTGGAAAAGGCCTGGCTTAAGTAGACTCAATAATTTTCACCTTTATTCCCATTTTTCTCTTATTTTCCATTTTCTCTTCCTTTAAAAAAAGTCTAAAAGTCTGTCTATCCTGAGAACCAGAAGCTGCGCTGGCCCATGGGTATATGGAAATAGCCAAGTTTCTTGCTCTCACTCTCAGAGCGGAGGGTCCCAACAGTAGAACTTGCCTGGTGATCTCCAAGGATTGGGTCCAATCTTGTGGGAGCAGGAAGGAGGAAGGAGTAACTTTTTGGGGTGTCAGGGAATGAATCCCAGAGGAGGTGCTCTCTGAGCTGTCTTTTAAAAAATGTCTGGAAGAGTTCAGAACATTCCAAGCTGGACACAGTGTATTCCTTATGGTAGGAAGAATAACGTTCCTCCAAAACGCACACACACTGATCCTCAGGACCTGTGAGTGTGTTACCTTCCACGGGACTTCGCAGTGACTGAGGTGAGGGTCTGGGGATGGGAGGTCATCCTGGGTTATCAGGAGCCTAATGTCATCACACGCAGCCTCTGAGCCAGAGGGAGGCAGACGAGTCAAGGCCAGGGAGAGGACTGAAGATAGCAGGGTGCTGCCCTTGAGGGTGGAGAGAAAGGGCCAGGCGCCAAGGCAGGTGGCCTTGTTTGCAAGTCAGAAAAGGCAAGGAAATGGTTGCTGTTTTGGAGCTTCCAGGGGGAACATATTCCTATCAATGCCTTGGTCTTGGCCATGTAAGACCCACTTAATAGTTCTGAGCCCCAGAAATGGAATATACCGAATTTGTATTGTTTTAAGCCAACAAGTGGGTGGGGATTGGTTATAGCAGCAAAAGGAGATGGATGCATTCTCATTCCCAAGGCAGGGAAGCAGGGAGCTGGGTGTGGGAGATGGCGGACTCCAGACTGAGGGCCCATCCTTCATGAAACCACCTTGTCATCCAGGGACCAGGGAGTCACTCCTTTCCTCTGCTGTCATCGCAGAGAGTCCCAGCATCTGGGATGACAGTGACGGGACCCTGGCTCCGAGTTGCAGACCCTCTATATTACTGGAGCCCCCTCCACATTACTGGAGCCCCCTCCACCCTCGCCCCCAGTGTTCACTGCTACTCGCCAGGTGCTCTGCAGGCCTCCCCACCGGCCGCTTTCCCTCAGACACCTCGGACCTTCCATCCCGACTCCCATGTCCCGACTCCCACGTCCCGCCTCACGTTTCACTCCTTCAAAACCCGCCCCTTTACTGTAGTTCCTCACATCAAATCCACACTGTCAGCCGCCCAATGTAGCAGCTTGATGTAGGCGTCCTGCAGCACATTAACTCGATAACTGGGTCACACGCCCTCTCCATATTGTGATGAATGGCCTCAACATCTGCATAGAAACAGTCAGAGCCCTGGCCGGTGTGGCTCAGTGGGCTGGGCGTCATCCTGTGCCCCAAGAGGCACCTGATTCGGTTCTGGTCAGGGCACATGCCTGGGTTTCGGGCACCATCCGCAGTGGGGGGCGTGCAGGAGCAGCTGATGTTATGCTCTCACATTGATGTTTCTCTCTTCTCTCTTCCTCTCTCTCACTCTCTCTAAAAATATCAAGAAACTATTCTTAAAAAAAAAAAAAAAAAAAGATAGTCAAGAACACTCAGAAGCACATTTGGTTTCTGCCTCCCACCCACCTGGTGTCCAGGTGCCGGCGAGCTTTGGTGTCAGCCTCACAGTGGCCTTTCGCGGTTGCCCTTTCCTCCCCTCCCACCGTCTGCAGTCAGCTCCCCTTTACCATTTGCCTCCTGACTGACATCCTGCACCTCACCATGCCTCAGCGTCCTTCAGTCTGTCCCGTGTCCAAGTTACCTCGTGAGGTCAGTGCCCCCACTCGAGCACAACCCCCCCCACCCCCCAGATAACCAAGTCCGTCTTTCTTTGGCGTTCTAAAATCTCCCAGTTTGGCACCAGTCGGTGTTTTATCTGAGTGAGCCCTGATACATTTTCCTTTCCGGGACTGTGCACTGCATTGCGCCGCGCTGGCAAGTCCCCAACCTCTGCCCACACCCGTGTCCCTCTGATCCCATGTCTTCGTTCAGGTGTGTCCTCCCTGCTGTGACCGTCTCCCCGTTCCACCCAGAGCCACAGGAACCAGTAACGTGCCGCCCGGCCTATGAGGCGTCACCGCCAATCTTCCCCATTGTCCAGCAGGAATATGGGAACGAGGCCTTGTATGAGAAAGGAGGCATTTGTATATTTTATATCTTTCAGTCCCTAAAGTTTGTAGCCACATCTTTTATTTGAAAGAGTATTAGGAACACTGATTTGAGTGGATACTTTTAAGGATCTTGCCCCTCCTCTATACTCTTTTCTATCTGGAATTAAACACTTGCCTCAGATGTAGCTCTAGGCTTTGGGAAATGTGCTTGGTGTCTTTTACTTGCCCCTCTCACTGTGCTCTCCACCCTTCTTGACCCTGTTCTGTGTCCTGCAAAGCTGAACTAAATGCATTCCATCGCTTAGTTCCCTTGCCCACCGGCTTTGGGTTGAGTGTGTGCCAATGGCAGCCCAGGAGGAGACTGGAGAGAAGAGAGCCACCCACTTGGCTGTTTCTCTGGTGGCATCATTGCAGGCTGGCTCCATCCTTGCTCAAAGACCATGGCACACCCCTCCCACATCACTGCTTCAGGCCCATGGCAGCTAAAGGCTCATCCTGAGGTTGCAACTCAAATAGGACACCCACCATCCTCTGTGTTGCTTTCCCTGCACCCCGCCGGCACCTTTGCAAATGGCCCTGCTACCAAGCTCTCCTAAAACCATCCAGCTGTCCTGTGTCCAAGTTACCTCGTGAGGTCAGTGCCCCCACTCGAGCGCAACCCACAAATCTGCCTGCATTTGATTGGCAGGCTAGAAGGGCAGCTTCTCTGGGAAGAGGGTCTCGAGGCAGCAGAGGGGGTGAAGCAGCCACCGGGGACCTGCAGTGCCCTTGGCTGAGACAGCTTGTGGGGAAGCGGCTCCCTAGTGGAGGCCCTGCGTGGCCTGGGCCCTCAGACGCTGTTCCCTCAGCTCCCAGGCACTGCGGCGCCCTTGGAGGGAGGAGTGGTGGAGAGACACTCCAGGGTGCGGTGTTGGGGCCAGTGAGATGCATTTCTGAAGGCAGTGATGCAACGGAAGGCCATGTCTCTGGGAAAAGGCAAACGTTAGAGGTCTGAAGTGGGGACAGATGGGCTGGCCTCGGCATGGCTGCGAGTCTGTCTTGATGTGAGTTTCCACAGGTTCTCAGAGCTGGCCAGAGCAGCATCTCCGCCAGGGCCTACAGAACCAGCACCTCGGGGGGAGGGCCGCATGGTGTTCCACCTTCCAGGGACGCCGAGGCTTGGGTAGGTGAGAGCAGCTGCGTTAGGAGTGTGGTTTTACAGTGCCTGCTGGTACCCAGGATCTGAGGGTGCCCTCCTCACTGCCTCTCCACGAAATGGGTATCAGAGTCAGAGCAGGAAAAAAAAGACACTTGGAGGTGAAACGTGGAGAGGAAAACAGCATTTATTAAAGAAAAAGAAGTCCAGCCTTCTTGCCTTGAATGCCATCCAAAGGACCATTCTTTCACGACCCAGGAGGGCCGCGAGGTTCCTAGCAGATAGCAGTCCTGCAGGGCCCAGCCCCCCGTTAGGGTTGTCTCTGGGGCCTGCCAGCTCTGTGGCCCAGGATTACACAGAGGACGCGAGGTCGGCCCATTCCTGCCACTGAGGAACTGGATGGACGTGGTACAACTCGTCTCCTGTGAGGGCTGAACAGCAGACCCGGGAGAGTCCCTGCAGCGACTCCCAGAGCAGGAGTTGAGGTGCCGGCATCGAGGAGGAAAACATGTGCTAACAGGGCTGGCCGCCGGGCAAGCCGCTGCCCGCTCCCGGCCGTGGGTCTCCTCCGGGGGCGGCTGCTCTGCTCCTACGGCTGGTGTGCGGCCTGGGACAGCCGGCAGCCACTGCACAGACCAGCAGCAGCTCGGCCCTGCGGCCTCGGCTCCCTGGCTCCCTCGGCGCGGGCGGAGAGCCTCTTGGTGGGGACTTTGAACAGATGTGAACCGTTTTGTGTTACAGCTGCAGCTGTTGGCTGTCAGGGCTGTTTGAAGATGTTCAGCTGAAACATGACGATATTTGGGAAGAGAATCCAGGAGCAATCAAATCAGCCACAGACGCCACTGACAAGTCACCTCTCCCCAAGGTCCGCAGGGAAAGCTGCCTGCGGAGAAGGAAGCCAGGCCACTCAGCACTTTATTCAGTACCGTTTGGCCCCAACCACCGTGAGCACATGTGGAGTTCTCGCCTGCACCTCAGAGAGGCTTTGACCTCGGCAGGGCCCCTGCGCTGGCCTCCTGCACCTGGAAACCTAGGTGAGTCTGGGCCCTTCATCCCATAGTTCTGGGAAGGCCACCGCGCAGGAGAAAGCTGCACTGCCAGTGGCGGGTTTAACAAAGATAAAGATAACGTTGTGCAATGGTGCCCCGGACTTCCAGAAAGCATGTGCATGTGAGGGTGTCATAGGATGGCGCCGGGAGAACGGCCTTAAAGGGGCAGTGGACCCCTCCATGCCTGAGGCACTAACGGCACGTCCCCAGCACCACCAGCCCCACGCGGTCGGGGCTGTCCTCACATGTCCCTCGTGGCGGAGTGGCCGAGAAGATGGCGTTTGCGTTGGTGAGCCCAGGCTGCCACGACCACTGCCACAGGCTGGGGCTTGGACTCGGAACCCTGAAGGCGGAAGCCGGTGCAGCCTGGGCAGGCTGGCTCCTCTGAGCCTCTCCTTGTCTGGACATGTTGGCCTTCCCTCTGCGTCCTCATGTGGTGTCCCCTCTGCATGTGTCCTTGTCCACATGTGCTTTTGGCCAGCGTGTGGCTCTGATCCAATGATAGAAACTTTACGTTTCCCTATAAAAACTGGGGAGAGCCTGTGCTCACCAGCTGTGGCTCTTCTCCTTGGTGTTTGGCGGAAACGCCTCCAAGTGCCCTTGCCTCTGGGTGTCCACAGCACAGCCCCAGCTGGGACAGGAGCAGTGCTCACTCCTGGGCTGTCTCCATCCGGAGCTTCCCCTCCTGGCAGCCCGTCTCTGGCCTGGAACCCTGGAGGTCACCTGTCAGCCCAGGCGCCTGGGTGCGGCCCCCGTGCCCGGCCCCAGGTCGGTGTGGGTTGGTGTGGGTCGGTGTGGGACACGTGAAATAAAAGAACGCAGATCCTAGCGGTGTCAGCCCTGACGCTGCAGGGACTGTGGTCACTACGCACACGCTGCGTATCTTGTGCTCTCCCTTCACTCGCAGCGTCCCTTTCTTCTCCGTGTGACAGGAGCTCTGCTTCCCGGTGCCCAGCATCACATGGCCACCGTGCGGGCGCACAGCCCTCCTCTCCCCACAGCGCTCTCCGGGCACCTGATTGTGTCTTCGTGCTGCCTGTATCTGGCTGCATTAGCCTGTGGGGTCCTCATCTCCCCACCCCCACCCCACCCCAACTCCCACCCTTACCCCATCCCCACCCCATCCCCACCCCCCTACCCGCAGCACCAGCACCAGCAGGGGCCTGGCCCTGAGAAGGTCACACACCTCTGGGATGACTGACCTGGAAAGGGCATGTGGTAGCTGATAAAACTCGTGGAGACTCTGCCCAGGCTGCTTTCAGGGTCATTCCTTTACATGCTTGCCAGGAGCTGTCTCCCGAGACGCCCAGCCTGGGTGTCTGCTGGCACTAGGGCAGCTCAAGGGGCTGGCTGCTTCCTAAGTTACCGTGAGGTGGTTGAATGCGGGGCTGTGCCACCGTCTGGTTTGGTTAAGCCGCAGGGGGACGGTTCAGCATGGACTTAGCATGGGTGCGGCTCCCAATTCTTTCTCCTCTTGATGTCGCCTTGATCAGGTCACATTATCAGACTCGCCCATAACTGGAATGAAGAATAACCTCCTTCCCAGGGGTGTGGCAGGTTTAAATAAGATAGACAGTCACGTGGCACTTTCCTGGACTCATTGAGAAGCTTCCAAGAATGCAAGAGAGGGAGCCTGTGGGAGTTCGGAGCGCTCCCTGTCCTCACCACCCAGACGGCGCTCCTTCCCAGGCCGAGCTGTGGAGACAGCAGGCACTCTGCCAGGCCCAGCAGGCGTCGCCTCGCGCTGTGGAGCCAGGCCCTGGAGGTCCATTGGGGACTCTGATGCGGCTAATGCCAGTTGGTTAGCACGTTGCTACTAGGGAAGCTTGCACTTGGGTGTAAACATCAACCACAGGGCGCAGGAGCTAGATTTGCTAGACGCCACCACTTCCCAGACCCAAGCCAGGCCTGCGAGCTGAGGACAGCGTCACACGTGTCTGTAGCACCAACACAGTGTGGACGAAAGGGGCCACATGCTGACCTGACAAGCTCAGGAGAGGCCTGCATGGCAGTTTTGCAGACTCGGAGACCTAAAGTAACCACAAAGAATGGTCTGAAATTAAACCTTAACTAAAAGCAGTTATGGTGGGCAGTTATGTCCTAGGCCAGTATCTTCACTGACAAGATCAACTTTGATACTTACTGAGCCCATTTGCCTTTTTGCCTCTAAGATAACATACCCTTGAAATGTCTGGGTAACTTGTAACTTCCCTTTTTCTGGAGCTCCTGGGGCACAACCAAATGTTCTGGGTGCCAGGACAGATACTACAAATTCCTTCATTATCATGTTAATTGATCCTGCACCCACCTAAGTATGTGTCCATCATTTTACTTTTTATCCTATCACAGAGGTTTCCCCGCTTCGATTAATCCCACCTTCTTAAATCTGTCACCAATGAATTTCATGTATAAATACGGATGTAACCCTGCCATTCTCCAGAGCACTATTTCAATTCGCTGAGGTTCTGCTTCCCGGCATATGTCGACAGTTTGGCTCAAATAAACTCACAAAAATTCTTTACAGGTTTCAATAGTTTTTTTACGTTAACAACGGCATGCACACTTACGGAGGCTTTTACGTTAAAAATGTTTAAATCATCACCTGAGGGTTACAGCTATTTTATTTTAATGTTTATTTTTTAGAGACAAAGGAAGAGAGAGAGAGGAGAGATCAGTTGCCTCCCTTCCCCACCCTGACTGGGAACTGAAGCCATAACATTTTGGTACCAGACAATGCGCCAACCGACAGAGCCACCCGGCCAGGGCATTACATTACTTCTTCCCTTAGGTAAGAATTGAAATTGTTCATCAGTTTCTCAAAGAGCCTGTGATCCAGAAAAATTGAAGGAATGTCAAATCCTAGATGACAGCCACCAGCCCAGAAAGAGCAGCTTGGTACCTGGCCACTCCGTCGGCTCCGGTAAACGCAGCGGGAATGAGAGGGCAGGAGGCGAGATGTGTGGGAACCTCCTCCAGCCCGAATCCTCTCTCTCGCTGAAGGTGTCTGTACTGGAAGGGGCCGGTCAACAGAAACCGGGGCAGGACTGACGGGGCAAAGCTGGCATGGGCTCATTTCACCACCTCCTCCGGGTCAGCCCTTTGCCTCTGGAGTCCCCTGAGAGCCTTGGTCATGACCTCTCAGGGTGATGCTGTCAGCTGCCCTTCACAGTGGGAGGAGGAGCCCAGAGGGCGCGGCAACTTCCCAAGGCAAACAGCTAACGAGTGCAAGTTCATAATTTTAAACTCAAATATGTGTGATTTCCACTTCAGAATGCTTGCAAAGAGCAACCCCTACATGAAGAAGAGATGAGAAAATTGGTGACATGCTGCTTGTCATGTGATTGAAATGCTCCCAGTTTTTATTATAACTGGTCAAAATATGCATGTTTTTATCTTTGTTCTAATTTCTCAGCATAATTCTTTATTGTCTGTTGCAGACCATTCCTCATAGAACAATTTATTTATGTTCTTCAGTTGCAGCAAGTCCTAGCTCATCTTAATTTGGGGGACATAATTCAGAACATGACATCAACTCCTTCCATTTCCTGCTCAAATAACACCATATATCCTGTTAGAAATGTGTGTGTTTATATGTATAAATATGGAATAATTTTTCTTTATTTTCCTCAGTTCTCAACAATTTCACATGAGCAGCCTGAGCTGTATGCCTCCATGAGGCATGGCAGCTATCCTTTAGATGCAGTGGTTCTCAACTTGTGGGTCAGGACCCTTTTAGAGCAGTGGTTCTCAACCTTCTGGCCCTTTAAATACAGTTCCTCATGTTGTGACCCAACCATAAAATTATTTTCGTTGCTACTTCATAACTGTAATGTTGTTACTATTATGAATTGTAATGTAAATATCTGATATGCAGGATGGTCTTAGGCGACCCCTGTGAAAGGGTCGTTCAACCGCCAAAGGGGTCGCGACCCACAGGTTGAGAACCGCTGCTCTAGAGGGACCAGGTAGCTCCAAGCATGTTGGTGGAAAATGGCCATGAAGCCCACTCCATCACTGCCCTCCCAGTAGGGCAGAAACGCTGACTCCTCAGGGCGCCTTAGGTCAGGGTCTGCCTCTAGATAGGATTCTGACTCAGCCCCTCTGTCTGCTCAGTCCCCAAAGGTGCAGGATAATTAACTCACCAAGTGCTTCTTCTGGGCTCCGCCCTTCACCAGGCCCTATAGGTGGGTTAGCACATTGCGTTTTATGTCCTGTGACTATGGCACCACAGGTACGGGGCGTGTCTGCATGCTGATTGGCTGATTGCTATACACTTTACTTGGTGTGTGGTGTTCTAACTGCTGGGCAGATGTTAAATCACTTAATCTTCACCACAACCCCAGGCTCTAGCCACAGGAAAGGGACGGAAGTGATAGACACCAGTCCCAAGTCTCAGAGGCCTGGGCCATCTCTACGTTTTCTCTTGAACTCTTACTGCCACACGAGAACAAGCCCGGGCCAACCTGGTGGGAAATGAAAAGCAGAGGGAGAAGAGCGGAGTCCTCCTGACAGCGATCATCCCAGGCCGGCAAGCCCTGGCCACGGGCCAGCGGACCACAGCCAACCACACAGCCTGTTGACTCCTGAGAAATAAGGCGTGCTTGTTATTTACATATTAATTCTGGTGTGGTTTCTTATGCAGCAATAGCTAACAGATGCAATGAGAAATAAATATTGTCAGAACTATTTAATAAAAACAGCTCAAAACACTCAACCTTCCCCAGAGCAGGTTGTCTCTTGTGTGTCTTCTAATATCCATACTCATACTCTCTCATGTATACACTAGAGCAGCAGTTGACAACCTTTTGAACCTCACAGACCACCAGCAGTCCACAGACCACAGGTAGGCGACCGCTGCACTAGAGGCTCGGTGCACAAAACTTGTGGACGGATAGGGTCCCAAGGCCTGGCCGGTGATCAGGGCCAATATGCGGGGCAACCTGTGGGGTGATCAGAGGGCCCCTGCTGGCACCCGCCTGAGCTGGCCTGGGACCTGTGGGCGGGGAGCAGCTCCTGCGTTGAGTGTCTGCCCCTGGTAGTCAGTGCATGTCATAGCAACTGGTGGTTCTGCCATTTGGTCGATTTGCATATTGGGCTTTTATTATATAGGATAAGGCAACTCCACACAGGCTGCTAGGTGATGATACCAACAGCAAACCAGAGCAGAAAACACTTGTTCCCATGGGCTCAATTAAATTGCCTTTGCACATGCTTCTCATTGTCCTTATGTCAACATTGGCTTACGAACTGTAATCTTTAATTTTAGGAAAGAGGCTGACACTTATTTTAGCAAAGAGAAGATGACACAAATGACATTAAAGTGTTAGGGAAAACCTGGCTGGTGTGGCTCAGTGGTTGATCATCAACCTATGAATCAGGAGGTCATGGTTCAATTTCCGGTCAGGGCACATGCCCAGGTTGTGGGCTCAATCCCCAGTGTAAGACATGTAGGAGGCAGTCAGTCAGTGATTCTCTCTCTCCCTCTCCTTTCCTCTCTGAAATCTGTAAAAATACATTTAAAAAAGTGCTAGGGAAAGAGTCCTCTTCCTCCCGACCTGGCCCACCCAACAGGACTGGATCTGCACAGTCATGGTTCTGAGAGGGTCCTCGTTGGCTCCTGTGGGTAGTTCTCCGAATGGCAAGGCACTGCAAGTCCCTATGACAACTGGTGGCCGCACATGAGCCGCAGGGCTTGTCACATTTACCAGGCCTGATGTAATTGTGTGTGTGTCTTTCTCCCTCATTACATTATGCAGCAGCAAGACTAAAAAGTACCTACCATCGGTGCTGCAGTTGAAAGATGAGTGAGGAATTCCACCACAGCTGCCTGGCTCCAGAGAGCCGGACAGTGCCAGCTGCAGGAGACCACAGCTGCCTCTGTGTCCTGTGGTTCTAGCACAGAGTGGGCATAGCCCCCAGGAAATGTCTGCTGCATGACTGAGTGCGTGTGGTCCATCAGGAACTCCTCCCCCCCGCCTCATCACCCTCTTCCAAACCCCTCAAACAGATCTCCATTTCTCAAGGATCAGCGTGGCTGTCAGGAGCCCAGGCTGGGTTCAGATTTCAGCTCCAGCACTTCCTGGTTGTGTGATCTTGTATAAGTTCTTTCGGGTTGATGAACCTAAGGAAACCCACATGTAAAACATGCAGTAACATCTACAGTGCTGTGGTGAGGAAGCCCATGCAGGTAGTTAAATTAGTATGTGTGAGATGTTTAGCATGCTACCCACATACAGTAAGCACAAAATGCAAACTACCACCTGCTCATTTGTTTACATTATGCTTTTGGAACAATGGTTATTTTCAAGCTGCAACACACGCAGGGACACAGATCAAAGAGACTGGCTCTTCCACCCCAGGTCCCCTGCTTGTCAGGGACCTGATGGTGAACAGGTGCTCTGTGGTACATGTGCACTTGTTCTGGAGATGAAACACAGGTGTGTGTGTGTGTGGGGGGGGGGGGGGCTTCAGGGGAGGGACCCTCTGATCCTTTAAGTCCAGGGGATTG